TTTTTTTGTCTTGAAGCCCTGAGCTTACTTCTGTAATTTAAAACAATTTTTTTGTAGAGACAGGATCTTTCTTGTTGCCCAGACGGGTCTCCAACTCCTGGGCTCAAGCCCTTTGGCCCCCAGTTCTGGGATTACAGGTATGAACCACTGCACTTGGACAAAGTGAAATTCTGTTCTTTTTGTTTTCAGTGTAAGAAGGAAGAGCTACTCGTTTGTGTATGTACATATGTGTATACATACGCACATGCACACACACACTTCTTTGGTTATCAACCAAAGAAGTTATTTACGTTTATATTCTTAAACAGTAAAATTTGTGATTGCGGGAAATGGATATGGTGATCTATCATTTTCGTTATATATGATAGTCTCTAATAGAGACTCTTAGAATGGATAGCTAAATTTTTCTATAGTTAGAATATGAAAGATAATACATGTGAAAAAACTGAACATAATTTGGAATCACTTTGGGATTCTGCACTACCTCAGTCATGTTTATGATACTTGATTTTTCATTATGCAATTGATGTAAGGCAATGCTAATCTATAGCTATTTGTGTTTGGGCAGATTTTTAGTTACATGATTATTCTTAGCTGTTACGTAATATTTGGGGAAGAGTATAAATTGGAACATTATAAGAATATTTTAAAGAAATGATAGTCTACTCAGAGGGAAAGTTGGATATGTTTCAATATTTATGATGTTGAAATGGAATTTACATAGTAATCGTGTCAATCTGGTTAAAGATGATGAAGTTCTAAATTTCTTAAGATTTTGTTTTATTTAATGATATTTGAGCATTAAGAGATTTCTTACTGCATTCCTATTTCCATTTGGAAAATGTAGGAATGTTTTAACGTTGATTTTTCTACTTTGGCATGGTAGGAAGTTAGGTCATGTTTGAAAAGTAGTTTCAATTTGAGCTGAAATACAAAAGTCATCCAATAACGATTTATTTTTATTCTTGGCTACCGTTTCTTTTTAAGGTATGTAAAATTTCACTGATGGTTTTGCTCCTGTTTTTATAGCTGCATGTAGTCTTTATTTTCCTTTTTTCTAGTATGATTTTAAGTTGGTTAGCAAGAGCACCAAGAAACTGACCTGATTGTACACGTACACAGTAGTAGTTAAATATATACGAATAGTGTATACTCTATAAATTTATTTTATACTAAAACTCGCTACTTAGAATACCTTTAAAATTGTAGCACCATATAATTCTAATCTTGTTCTGTTATTCATGGTCTGCAGTGCATAAGTTTTCTTCTGAAACGTATATCATAGTTTGACAATCATTGTTTACACGTAATTTTCTCTCTTTTTATTACAATGCTTCCCCAGCAAGGACAAGTTTGGAAGGTTTGCAAAGCTTTTCACCTTCCCTCTGCCCGCTTGCCCGCTTTCAGATCAGTTTCATGTTTCATAACTTCTCTTTCTGCAATCCACAACATAGCCATAGTAAACAATGGAAAAATTTAAAATTGCAATAGTGTATTTCCTCACACATGGCAGACAGATAAAACTTTTCAAAGGACACATCCTTTTTAAAATGCAATAAAAAGAAGCTAAATAGAAATGTTATAATTTTAGTAATTCCCTAAGGAATAACATCTGACTAGCAAGCAGTTAATTAAATGTCACATAATGAAATAGGAACAGTATTCAAGATTATGTTCTGTGTTGCTAATAGTTCAGGTAGAATGTTTGTTCTAAAAATAATACCTTACATTTGTATAGTGCTCTACAGTTTACTGCAGAGAATGCTGTACTGCTGATATGGTCAAAATGTAAACATTTCCATTTGTTCTGTGCTTACGATATATAGAACAGACGTAGATTCATTGTTTGAAGTGCTGCTGATATGATGGAAAACAGTGTTGTAACTCAGGTGTTCAGAGGTTCAGGCAAAATACCTTAGCACTATAAAGACAATTTTAGCAGCTTCCAGTTCTTTTGAACTAGGGCTCTTGTATTAAAATGTTTAAAGTGAATGAGGAAGACATTTTGGAAAAGACATTTAAACATAAGCTTTTATTTTATAACACTTAGAAATAAACATGTCTAGTACTCTACTGAATATTTAATTTTGTAATATTTTATTAGCTTCAGATGAATACAATCCTACCTCAAATCAAGAATTTTTTTTTTCTTTTTTTTAGGTTTGAGCTTTTTCCTTCACTGCTGTTCTGCGCTAACTGCTTTGAAACTTTCCATGCATTTTTTTCAGTAGAAGAACATCTCTGTACTGTCTCCCATTGCATATTTCAGCTGTGACAATCCTTGCACTTTGCCTATTCATTTTATCACCTGCTCACCAAAAACAATAAATATCTCTTTAATTTCTAATTGCAGATTTGCTATTTTTGATTTTAGAAGAAGGGTGCATTTCACTTTTTTTTTATTACTGTTGTTTTATAGGCATGTGGAGACCCCAAGGCAAAACCATCCTACCTTATCGACAAAAACCTGGAATCTGCTGTGAAATTCATAGTCAGAAAATTCCCTGCTGTAGAAACCCGCAACAACAATGTAAGTCATCTAAATTTTTCTGTTACTTGATTTTAGCCATCGTTGAGGGAAACAGTGGTCAACACAGTGCTTATAGTAGCTCTTATTTACCTAATTTTTAATATTTTTATATACAGATTATATACCTTAAGGGTTTTGAGACAATATTCTTGTGTCTGAGACCAGAAAAAAACAACACTTAGCTACATTGCCATTTTATTACAGAAAAGATAAGATCTTAGATTCCTATATATTTATTCCCTTTCTAATTGCAACACAAGTAAGGTAATAGATATGTATCTATATTCCAAATATTTGTGTGAATACTTGGGATGTTTTTCTTTCTTATAAACTTATGTTGACGTTAGTAAATGTCTTCATAGAACTTCTGTTGTTTTTAGTAATTAGCTGTATTTAATTTTAAAATGTATTTGCTTTTCTAGTAAATATATGTATATATATATTTTGGTAATTGACAATGATTTCTAAAGATTAAATAGTACAAGAAAGTGATTGTGTTCGAGTCTTTATTATCCCCATATTACTCTGCATGTGGGAAAGTTTTTTCTTAGTATACTGAAGTATGGTCATTTTCAGAGTCTTCCTGATATGTTTACATATCTTTATAATAATTTCTATGAATAACTACTTTTGGAAAATTAAAGTTATTTTTCACCTCGGTGTGGCATTTTCATATAAATTTTGGCTCTGAATCTTTCTGCCTGTCTTCTCTTTTTGCTTTTTTTCTCTGATATTTTCTTGTTACAGTCTTTGCTGCCTTTTGCTTTACTTAGAAATTTCCTCTCACAGATGATCTCCTTAATTTTGAGAAGCTCTGTTGAAAAGATATATTGTCAGCAGGTCTGAAAATAGTGAGTTATCTCAATTGATTGTTCTCCGTCAATTACAGATCCAGCTCCTTGTTCTACTCTTTGCCCCTTCTTACTGCTACACTTGACTAGTCTAAAAATAAAAAGATACATTGCCATCTTTTTATTTTCTCAAATCATATATGTTTATTGAAGATTCGTATTTAGCCTGTTGATAATACTTAAAAGCACTTCCATGTAAAAAGAAAATGCTAGTAAGAACTAACAAAATAAGTCAGATGCAGTGGTTTTTAAGGCATTTTTTTGAAAAAGCAAGTCTGTTTTTTGGGCTTACAGGTTAGTAGGGGTCTTGGTTTTATACAAGATAATTTGTTTTTGTAGAGATGAGATCTCACTATGTTGTCCAGGCTGGTCTTGAACACCTGGGCTCAAGGGATCCTCCTGGCTCAACGTCTTAAAGTGCTGAGCTTACAGGCTTGAACTGCTGTGCCCAGCCAGAAAGATTGTTTTATAATTATATCAATATATTAAGGCATTTTAATTAGTTCCTTATTAAAAAATAGGTGATTCAAAACTTGTACTTCTTAACACTATTATTCATGTGGAGAACTCTTTTTTAGTTACTAACATTAATTGGCTAACTCATCTGAGAGATTATATACTCACTCTAAAAGAGAGATTTTATTATGAAAATCTGTCATTAATTTTATATATACTTTTTCTTACAGCTCATAAAATTTCTGACGAGCTCTTCAGAGAGTCTTTGAAACTTAATTTACATATGTGTTTGTATGTAAACTTATATGTTAGAATATGCATTGTTCCTTAGTATTAGATCTTTCCTTAGAAAATTAGAAATATCTGGTGAAATAATAGTAAAATTGTCAGTTAAAAGACCAATTAAGAATCTGCTGTTCTTGAAATGCAGGGCAAACTGTTTGTTATCATGCTGTTGTTTTTTGTTTTTTATTAGTTTTACTTCTCTTTCTAACTTTTGAAGCACAAAATTGATGTTTTTAATAATAGTTTTATTGAGATATAATTCACATACCATATAACTCACCCATTCAAAATATACAATTCACTGTTTTTTAATACATTCACAGAGTTGTGCATCCAATACCACAATTAATTTTAGAACATTTTCCTCACTGCAAAAAGAAACTTCATGTCCATTAGCGGTCATTCCTGATTTCCCACTAACACCTCTGCCCTAGGCAACCACTGTGTAGCATTTTCTGTCCATCTCTATGCCTATTCTGAAGACTTCATCTGGAATAATGTAATATGTGATCTTCTGTGACTGGTTTCTGTCGTTTAACATAGTTTTTTCAAGGTTTATCCAAACTGTAGTATGTATCAGTACTTTGCTTTAAGAGACGGGGTTTCACTCTCGCCCAGGGTGGAATGCAATGGTGCCATCATAGCTCACTGTAACGCCAAACTCCCAGACTAAAAGGATCTTCCCACCTTGGCCTCCTAAGTAGCTAGAACCACAGGTGAACACCACCATGCTCGGCTATTTTTTTTTTAAAAATTAAAATTTTTTTATCCAGACATGGTCTGGCTATGTTGCCTAGGTGGGTCTCAAACTCCTTGGCTTAAGCAGCCCTCCCACTTTGACTTCCGAAAGCTCTGAGATTACAGCTGTGAGCTGCTGTGCCCAACCTTCATTTCTTTTCATTGACAAATAATATTCCATTGTGTGATATACCACATTTTATTTATTCATTCATGAGTTGATGGATGTTTGGATTCTTTCTACTTTTTTGCCTATTATGAATCATGTTGCTATAAACATTTATGTGAATGTTTTTTATGGATATGTTTTCATTTCTCTTGGCTTTATAAACCTATGAAAAGAATTGCTGGGTTGTGTGGTAATTCTGTGCTAAACCTATAAAATTGTTTGTACAGTGTTGTTGAGTGTTTTGACTTACTTGTAGCATTTACTTTGTTTTGTTTGCAAAGCCTGAGTTTTGTCATGTTGCTTTTACAACTATTCTTTGTAATGCTACTCTGTTGTCTTTTTTTTACCTACTGAAGTACTACGTATTAAGTATATATAACGTCTTGTAAGCTCAGTTTTGATCTGGGTCTGCTAAAATTTTGGCTTGAAGTTCCTAGCCAGCTTGGGTCAGGACCTGAGAATTGAGGTTTCAGTTTTATTTTTATTTTTTTAACTTATTAAATTAGTTGATGACACTTAAAGACTGGAAAAGATAGTAGTAGCATCTGGGATTCATAGGAGGTTGCAGATTTCTGGCTAGTGCAGTGTGGAAGTGGTCTTGATATCATAGTCGTTTCTTTTTTTCTTATTTTTGTTCTTTGGATCATTATGTAAATATGTGAAACAGAACATGCTTACTTTTTCTCAGGGATCTAGGTTAGTACTATTTCTACTCGGATTCATGTCTTACAAGTAATAGTTGTCCCCAATTTCAGAAAAGGTACTCATAAAAACAGATTTCTGGTGAAAATGCAATAATTTTTTTTTTTTTTTTTGAGCCACAGTCCTGCTTTATCGCTCAGGCTGGAGTTCAGTGGAGCGATCTCAGCTCATTGCAAACTCCACCCCTTGGTCTCAAGCAATCCTCCTGCCTCAGCCTCCCAAGTAGTTGGGACTACAGGGGCACATCCGCCATACCTGGCTAAATTTTTGTGTATTGTATAGACATGGGGTCTTGCTGTGTTGCCCAGGCTGGTCTCAAACTTCTGGGCTCAAGTAATCCTCCCGCATTGACTTCCCAAAATGCTGGGATTACAGGCTTGAGCCATCACACCCAGCCTCAAAATATATATATTTTTTAAGTTTCTAAACTGGATTCTTGCAAAAAGTCTACCCTTATCTTGCAGCCAAAAAATTGTTGATTTTTGGTTTGTGTGTGTGTGTGTGTGTGTGTGTGTGTGTGTATTTTAAAAACTGCCCTCACCTCCATACTTTTTAAGCCCTTTAGAATCCTTGAGCATGTAGTCATTTGATATACAACAAGAGGGCACTGGTGACAGATAGCAGGATTGGTGCATAAAATGGCTTCTACAGTGATGATGTTGGACTCTGTTGAGTCATTTTTACTTTCTTGGTAAGGGAGTTTTGTACTTCCAGTTCTGATTTAGGGAAAATCTAGGACCAAGGAATGAGGTTTTTTCCTTGGGTCATGATGTTGAACTAAATGTCCCCCATGTGGTTCATATGGTTCAAACCAAGCTGGTCAAGTGAAATTCAAAATGAATGAAAGCCATACCAGTTTTATAATTATAGCAGCCACTTGTTTTCTAATGTGTGCCAGGTTATGTGTGTTTTTTTTCTTTTTTTTCTCCTTTTTTTGGTGAGATGGAGTCTCACCCTGTCACCTGGGCTGGAGTGCAGTGGCATGATCTTAGCTCATTGTAACCTCTGCCTCCTGAGTTCAAACGATTCTCCTGCCTCTGCCTCCCAAGTAGCTGGGACTACAGGTACATGCCACCACACCCGGTCAATTTTTAAATTTTTAGTAGAGATGGGTTTTCACCATGTTGGCTGGGTCAGTCTTGAATTCCTAACCTCAGGTGATCCGCCTACCTCGGCCTCCCAAAGTGCTGGGATTACAGGCGTGAGCCACCGTACCTGGTCCAGGTTTGTATTTTAATCAAGTTCCTCATTTAATTTCAGGTTAAGCAAAGCATTTCTGAGCTGAAAGATAATTTGATTTATCTCTAATATAAATGCTTTCATTATTTTGAAAGTGTAACTCAAATGGAATTTGTTTCTTCTCAGTATCTTTTTTTTTTTTTTTTTTTTTTTTTTTTTT